TGCTGTAAGCACTGGAATGGGGGAACTGGTCAGCTATTCCTGTAGAGGAGGCAGGATTTGAAAAAAGCAAACTTGAGTCTCTGAAGTTTTGTAAAACAAAATGTGGAATGGGTAAAATGCACCAGGTCAGGCTGTTCCAGGTGCAGCAGCAAAGGATTGGCACACTGCAGACTTCCACTGTGAATGCTTAAACTCACTTTGTTTTACTGTTATGCTCACTGTCTGTATGGCCTACACATGGCAATGTCTTGGGATCAGGCCTGAGCCAAAGCCAGTTGAAATCACTAGCAGTCTTTCCATTAACTTCAGCCCATATTAAATCAGACTTTCAGTAAACGTCACTAAATCCAATATTTTTCCTCCAAAACCCACTCACATCCCAAAGCAGGATCCCTTTTCTGCCCCATTTCCCTCCCTTCACCTCCCCCCCACGCTGCTACTTTTTCTCCCCATCTCTAGATTCTTTCTGGTTTATCTTACCAGCCAAGAGGGCTGAAGATGGCTGCTTCCTGAGCTCATCTAGGCCATCTCTGCGGGAGGTAGGGGTGCTGCAGAATCCCTAGCAAACCCTGCCTTAGGGCTGAAGCATACATTTTTCACTAGCATTATTGTAATTCAACATAAAGCACTTTGTGACTGTTTGAAAGTCGCAGTTTTATAAAGAACTTTTCCAACGTGTGCAGAGACATTTTTTGTGCCTCTGTGGTGCAAATCTTCAGAACCTGACTGATTTTTACATGGTTACACAAGAAGCATAAATCTTATATGCAGGTCCTTCGGGACAAGCGTGTGTGAAATACGTTTTCTGGTTTTGCTTTTTTCAGAGACACAGAAGCATAAATCTTTTATGCAGGTCCTTCGGCACAAGCGTGTGTGAAATACATTTTCTGGTTTTGCTTTTTTCAGAGACAATTCATTGTAGGTGGAGTTTTCCCTGTCTCTGAAGCTCAAGTAATCACAGCTTGTTGCTAAATGGTCAAATTATAGCTGACCCTGAACATGGGATGGAGACAATGCAAGGAACCTATGTATATAGCTTTGTAGTTCGTCTATGGCAGGCCTTGCAAGGCTGGAGCAGCCCCCTGCCTGTGGCAGGGCAGAGAGCTGCTCCAGTCCTCATTGGTTAACTGGAACCAGTAAGCATCACCCTTTAAGGAGGATACTTATTGGTTAACCATCCCTAGTTTGAACAGTGGGCATCAGATATGTACTTAGAACATGTACTCAGTATATAACCATCTGTGCAACTCTAGAAAGGGTGGTAGAAGGGGGCAATTTTGCTTGCCTTACTCACAGCCACCAAACTGTGGGTTACTCATTTAAGTAGGGTGAGAAGGATTTGGCCTAGGGGAATGGGGCTTATAGTGGAGGAGTTTTTGAAATGACTGAGTCAAAGAAGAGGTGTTGATCAGATCAGAAAAGTTAAGGAATCCCAGAAAAACCACTTTAATAGTCTAGGAGAAGCTTGATGAGGCCTGAAATGGAGATGAGATGCCAAAGGAGGAAATATCAAGATTCATTTAAGACAACTTTTGGAGTGAAAACTAATATAAGCATAGATTCCGAGCTGTCCAGTTATCTGCAGAATTATTTTATTAATTGCACTGTGTTGATATATAGAAACTAACATTTGATTTTTTTTCCTTCATTATCTCTTTCTAGCCTAAAGCTGCACGTGATATGTTGCTTAGTCTTATCTCCTATTATGCAAAAAATGAGAATCTGCTATTTGAAAAACTTAACTTTTGAAAGCAGGAATCTTATTTTCATGCATCCGTTTTGATTTCTGTTGTTCAGAAGCTCTGAATACAAGCTTTGCTTAGTAATTGTTGCTTAAGTATTTGCAATGCTATGTCTAAAGGGGAAATTTTAAAAGCATAACTTCCTATATGTGTGCCAAGAAAGACATTTTGCCAACAATTTTCTAACTAACTTTTTATAGAAGAGTAAACAAGACTGCTTTGATTTTTTTTTTTCTCACAGAAAATGTCTGGTGGAAACATTGGAAAAACTTGACAGAAAAACTTGCTTATCACCATATTACTGGTTGCATTTTTGGCAGTTTGGGAGGAATGCTCTCACCTCCTTAATACTGATCTAAGTGCCTGTGTGTCCAAGAATTGCTGTTTTGCATTCAGTGACACAGGAACACGCTCCCTTTTGAGTCAGTACTGACTTGGTACCCGAGAGCTGTGCTAAAGGGAGTCAATTTTACAGTTTGTTGGTCAAAAACCGAGCTCCTACTTACGATTTATTTTTTTCACGTCGTGAAGACTGAAGTGAACTGCAGTGGAAAAACAAACAAACAACAACAAAAGCCCTTTACTAGTCTTCTATATAACAATGAGCTTAATGTTTTTAGTTTGAACTGTAATAACTCCCTCTGGCTGCCCTCCAAGGTCTCTGAACAGCTGCAGAAAAACCCAGCCAATAGCTGAAGTGAAGTACTGGACACATGTTCTTGGGAATGGATGGGAAGCTGCACAGAGGGGCAGCCAGCCATGTGAACAACTCTTTATGCTGTGGATTTATGGTATCCCAGTGATCTACAAGTATAAGACTACATATACACTTCAGGCTTTTTGCGCAATAAGCTTTTTGAGGAAGAGAGCTTCCGCAAAAACTTCTTTCACAAAAGCACATCCACACTACAAAAGCAGATCGGAAAAGCAATGCGCTTTTGTGCAGGAGAGCGTCCAGACTGCATGGACACTCTTGCACAAGAAATCTCTGATTGACGTTAACAGAATGGCCATCAGAGCACTTGTGCTTTTTCTGATAGGCTCTTTTTGTGCAAGAAACCCCTTTTAAGCATCCATGCACATTTTTGCACAAGAACTCCTGTGCAAAAAGAAGTTATTCCTCCTAGAAAGAGGTACACCTATACCGCAAAAAGCTCTCTGTTCTGCTGTTCTACAGAAAAACGTGCTTGAGGTGTGGATGCTCAGCGGGTTTTTGCGCAAAAATGGCCATTTTTGTGCAAAAACCTTGTAGTGTAGACGTAGCCAGAGAGAGAGAGACTTCTTAACTCCTTGTCTTTGAGAACATTTTCCCCCTGTAGGGAACTATCTAAAGGAAACACCACAGAGCTAAGCTTGTGGAATTTTTCAGCTTCCCTGCAGCTCTCCTTTAGAACCTGGGTTAGTCTGAACAAGTGCTAGTTAACTCTGTTGTGGCTCACTCAGTTGTAACTAGAAGTGGATGGGAAATGGTTGGTGAATCTTTTAAGATTTCATTTTTTTAAAATATTATGCATTGGGACAAAACAGAGACACCCACTTATAGTCAATAGCCTGGTAGTTTGGGCATTCACTTGGGATGTGGGATCCCTAGAATTAAATCCTTATTGTCCCTGATTTGGAGCAGGGATGTGAATCTGCCTACCACATCCCAGGTGAGTGCCCTAAGTCCCAGGTTAGAGACCAGTGGTGGGCAATCTGCAGCCCACGGGCTGCACGCATCCCGTTGTAGTCCACTGGCAGGCCACGAGACGTTTGGCTGACCTTGACCAGTCAGAGGCACAACCCCCTACACCTCCCATTAGCCACATTTTCCATTCCCAGCCAATGAGCTGTGGGAAGCGGCAGGCCACAGGAATGTGCCTGCAGCATCTCCCGTTGACTGGGAATGGTGAACCATAGCCAGTGGGAGCTGCAGAGAGCTGCACCTGCAGACAGTCAGCATCAGAAAAATGTCTTGAGGCCTGCCAGCAGATTACTCTGTTGGGACCATTGCTACAAACTGTTTGGGCTGGGGGCCTCTCCTGGCCTAGGCCTGAGAAATCTTTCCTGATGAAAGTTTAATTGAAACTTCACATATTCCTGCAAAATATTTCAGTTTAGACAGATCTGCATTTTCTAATTAAAACCATTTTTCAAAAAATGCCTAACCTGCTGTAGTGTTAAGCTGTTAAACCCATGGTCAAACCAACTTATAACAATTTTTAAAAAGCTCTTTTAACAGACTGGACTTAAAATTGTGTACCCTGTCATTGGTAGTGTCTACGTTTACCTCTCTTGCCTTCTCATGTCTTCACTACGTGGAAGATTGATGTTGCCGCAGTTGATCGTCTGGAGTTTGATTTAGTGGATGTAGTAAAGGCTGGCTACATCGAATTCAGAGGGGAACCCAATCGGCATCAGTACTCCTGCTCCGCGCAAGGAGTAAGGGTAGCCAATGGGAGCTAATGGTCCCGTTAACCTTCTACTGTGGATACAGCACGGAAACTCGAATTAAGATATGTCAGACCCTGCTACGTAATTAACATGGCTGGAGTTGCATATCTTGATTTGTCCTTCCCCTGTAGTGTAGACCTGAACTTTGTCATTGTCTCAATATGACTGAGACGTGTGTAATTTTTACCAGTATTATGAAACCAATAGAATTTATAAATCTTGCAATGAAGTAATCAGGTAGCTGGTGAAGCTAATTTATTCTCTCTATATATATATATTTGAAATATTCAGTTACATAGGCTATGCTAGGAGAAGTACAAAATAGCAGCATATTTTGTTTGAGCATTTATACTAGGATATGTAAAGAGCTATGGCAGTGTCTGCCATGCTGAACTCCTCTTACTTTTGTACCCACGATAGGGGATATATAGTTATGTATATTGTAAATGCGCAGAGTCAGTATTCCATTTAATAGTATGTGTAAGTGAATAATGAAGTATGAGTAGCACTAGAATGATGTATACTTTCCTTGGGATTTAAGCAAAAGGTTAGGCAAGAAGAGAAAAAGGACAGAGCATCAGAATTAAATTCCTAGTTTAACCGCAGATTTCCTATGTGACTATGGACAAATCACTTCATCTACTCTGTGCCTTACTTTCTCATCTGAAAAGTGAAGATGGTACTTTCCTGCACCATAGAGGTGATGTGGGGATAAAACAGATTTGGGGGTGGAAGGCACTCAGGTAGGATGGTGATGAGGGCTAAGTGGAACCTCTGTATTGTGAGGAGACTGTCAAAGCAATAACTTC